CCAACACCAAAAAAAAAAAAAAAAGCGTTGCTGTTAATGTTACTAAATAACATATTGATTATCTTCATCTGTTTGAGAGGCTTCAGAAATGCATGTGAAGTCAAAAGAGCCTGATAAGAGTGTTACTGTTAGCAACTCCATATTTTGCAGACGAAGTCGAAAGATGTTGAAAGTCTGATCAGAGTTTCAGCTACTCCACATTTTGTCTATTGGGACGTGTAAATGCTATGAGAAATTTCAACAGCACTATCATGTGATCTAACATATTGTCCCAAGTTGAAAGGAATTAAATTGGGTAATTTAAACTTGATTCAAATTCTAATTTTCTAGGGGGAGCATCTATAAGCGTTTGGTAGAACATGGGTTTAATTTTGTCCATGCAATAGAAGGAAATAAAAATAATTAAATAGGTTTTACATCAAGTCATTCGCAAGAAAATGCTGACTTTCCAAATATGCAGCATAGAATGAGTGTGGCTAAGCTTGCGTCTGGTTAAAATTCTGCTACATCTGAGACACAACATAGGTTGAAATTAATGAAGCATGAGTCTGATTAAGAATTTCCTATGATTAATGCAGTTACTGTATTTCTATGCTAGGAAATTGCTTCACCATACTATTCATTTTCATTTCACTTGGTGGGTAATATCTCATTGAAGATCTCATGCCCCTTATCTACTCGATTTATTTGCTTTCTGCAAGGGTGTAACCATTGCTTAATTAGTTAACTGAAATGGGCCATCAGAAACTATTCCTCTACTCTGGCTGATGGTTTGAAAACAGATCCACTGCCTATTGAAAGGAAGATTATGATTAAAAAAAAACGTGATCATTTGGTGATGTAAAGATTACAGAATGCTTAGCTAAGCTTAAAATCAGCTTATTAGCTGATTCTTTGGCAGCATCCCACATTCTGCTAAGTCCATAGGAAGCAGTGCATCTGAAGTCTGAACACTTATGGTTAGCCTGAACGTACTTTTGGTATATTTTCTAACTAATTAATCTATATAGAACTTAGTGAGATTTCTATTGAAAGAATGAATTCGCTGCACATAGGCTATGGAATGAGAAAAAGTACTTACATGAGCAAGTGTGAGACAGACAGAGAATTATAGTGATTAGCTATGAAATGCGTTAGTGCTTGTCGATTGCTTGTATGATCTAAATTTAAATAGCTATTTGGCGTATGCCCTTTTGCACGTGATACTTTTGCAGATTCTAAGTACCATTTATTACAACCCACTTTCGAAGGTTTGGTCATCTCTTTGTACAAGTTCCTAGAAGTCACATTTACCACACTTCTATTTCCTCATGCTTTTCTTTCTGTCTTTATATGCATGCTCAGAATATCTATGACCTGTCAATGCATAGATATATTGCAAAGGCTTATATAAAATACTCATGTCATGTGAAATAAGAATTGGTCAGCTGTTTCTTTTTCCAATGTGCTATTCAATTTTATTTTTCTACTTATGGTCAAAATTATATGCATCATATTGAAACTACCACTAAGTACTATGACTCGGGAAGTATTAGAATTAAAGCTCAAATCATACCTGTCAAACATTTCACTGAAAGTAATTTTCATTTCTGATACATGCGTAATGTGGTTCAATAATTTAATGGATAGTAATCAATGATGGTCCCTTGTTCAAATTTAGGTCTGTTAATAGAACGTTCTTATGAGCACAGGTGATTAAACATAAAAAATGATTTCCGATTTTATGCCATATGAAGTAAAAATATACCTGGAAGTTTGACTAGTCAAGCTCTGTCAGTTGGAAACCGAATGCTGTTCGAATATGGAATAACTTAGGCCAGATCCCATCTTTAGGTGGAGAGAACAAAACTTAAAGAAAGAGTCATTTTGAAGAAAAGAGGAGAGAATACATCCATGTGTTTTGTGGGGCCTTACTGGAGTAAAGAAGGGGAAAGCTTGTAATAATTCAACCAAATGTTTGGAAGGGGGAACAATAACAAACTGGAAATGGCGTTTGCTGTAGGACAATTCTACTAGAAATCAATTATTACTACTAGATTTGGGATTTAACTATTATTGGTAATTAGGATTCCTACTATTTATAGGATTCTAGTAGTTTTGTTATTTAGTTGATAGGATTTCTACTTCTATTGAGTAGATTTTAGTTTTCTTATTCTTTTAAGAGTTTCTTTTCTTTTAGAAGATAAATTTCTTATACTTAAGTCTACTAGAATTAGGACATTATCTCTTCTTCTAATGCCTATGTAAGAAGGCTAGACTTGTTTGTTATTGCAATTCACATTAATTAAATTCAAGTTATTCACGTAATATTCTTAAGATTTTAGATTTTTTCTTGTTTTTAAAAGATTTGACTTTTGCTGCTGCACTAAATTGGTATGAGAGCAAGGTTTGTCTTTAACTGATGGCAACCTATGGTGGTAGTGGTATTCATCATGGAGATAATGTTTGGAGGATTGCAAAATTACCAACCTCAGTCTAAAATTTGGAACGAATTATGGATAAATTCGAAGATTTCACTAACAAAAATCCTGACTTTGACCTCTATAAATATTGGTCGCTTCAATGATCCTAAGACACGGCAGTAGGTAGCTAGAGATCTTCCTAAGTCCAACCTAAGTTTGAATATTAACAACATGATGGATTACTACAATGGGGTGATTTTTATCGGTCAAGCCATCACAAATAGCATGTTCCAATGCAACTCACTTTGACATAACGAAATTCCTCTTCAAAAACATGACATTAATCATAATCAATATGCATGGAGTAAGAACAAGTTATTTAAGGATTTTGTGCAGGTCTCTAGAGGAGATATAAGTTATAAACTAGCTAAATTTGTAGCATGACAAGATTTTTAGAAACAATGGACCATCAACAACAAAGAATGCAACGTGATTATAGACCAACGGGGTGGTGCGAACATGCTATGTAAAGCATCAGCCAAAGCTTTAAAATCGAAGACTCATTTTGCTATCAGTTGTAGTTTAAAGGGAGCGAGAAATTCAGAATATGGAGGTATGCAAAACTTCACTTTCTATTCGAACTACTGCAGAGATGAGATTGTGTGTAACATGGTAGAGATGCATGATTGTCATGTACTTTCGGGACAACCATAGTACTATAATGTAGATGTCACTTACATACTCAGAGATAACAAATTACCACTTAAGAAGCAATTTGCAAATAAGAATGTAAACAAAGAGTAGAGGATTTATAAGGTTGAAAAATATGTCATTCAAGATGATCAAAGATGGATAACCACAATACTGCAATAGAGGTAGAAAAGCATGTGCAAGTTGAAATCCCGAGACTTGCTAGTCCGCAATATATGGAATTTGATAATGAATACAAGCATTAGTATGAAAAACATTATGGTAAAATAGCAATTGAAGACCTCAAGCTTGAGCTACCCTTTGGATAACAAACAAGTTATGTTTAGAAGTGTCAAGCTAAAGAAAAGGGAATTGAACTTCCCAATTACGAAATATTTAAGCGTAATGCTTGTCAAATTGAGAATAAAAGTTTTGTTTACCTTCTATGTGATTTCAATGATAATGAATTGCATAATGATGACGGAAATATGGATATTATAGCAGAAGATGAAAAGCATGGAGAATTGAAAATAGCACTCATGGCCTCTACCAAGAGTGGACTTAAAGATGAGAAATTGCACCTTGCATCGTTTATGAAGGAATATTACGTTAAGAAATCTCATTAAGAAAGAGAAGATGAGTAAGGTAGGATTAAATTTGACTTCAATCAATGCAACTAAGGAATATAACCATATTTATTGAGTACATCAGGAGATGGACATTTCTTCAATATTAGTTATGTTAGAATTTTTGAGTATTTTCTTCCGAATCAGGAGATGGACATTTCTTCAATATTAGTCATGGTAGAAATTTTTGAGTATTTTCTTCCTAATTAATTTTCTTTTCATCAACCGAACGCGAGGATGAGTATTTTTCAAGTGGGGGAGATTAACATAGACAATTATATTAGAATTCAATTATTACTACTAGTTTTAGGATTCAAGGGTTGTTTGAGCCCCTTTTTTTTCGAAAAATGTATTTTGCAATAGTGTTATGATGGAGGATGTGTGGTTAAAAGATAAGGAAAGCTTATGGGGTTTGCATGTAATATTATTTTATTAAAAAATGCGTTATTGAAAGGGATCAAATCACCGTAGAAGAATGCATTTTGATGGAAAAAAAATATGGCTCAAACAAGGGCTTAATTTTTATTGGTAATTACTGTTCCTAGTATTTATAGGATTCTATTAGTTTTTTAATTTCATTTAAAAGATTTCTACTTCTATTTGGAGTAGGTTATTAGTTTTCTTATTCTTTTTAGAGTTTCTTTTTCTTTAGGAGATTAATTTCTTTTACTTTGTCTAATAGAATTAGGATACCTCTTCTTACAATGCCTATATAAGAAGAGGCCTAAACTTGTTTTGTTATCACCTCATATTCATTATATTCAAGTTATTCTGATAATATTCTCAAGCTTTTATATTTTTTTCTTGGTTTTACAAGATTCAACTTCCATTGCTGCACTAGCATTCAACTTTATTTTGTGAAAGTTCGAATATGAAGTCACCAGAACACAAGGGTGAAACTGATAGGGATCTCAATGAGTTATTTGGAAGTTTGAAATGATATACAACTTTTCAATATATGAAGATTTATAAATTGTACGTCTCATTTGAAATTGGCCAGTTAAGTTGTGAGCAACTGGCACGTCACAAATTCTTCTTCATGCCAGTTTATTTTATGCTAATAGAATGAATGTGTCTTGTAATATCTCCTGGCAATTATTTTTATCATAAGATTCTTTATTTGTCGACGTTGCAGTTATTTTTCCTTTCAACTCCTATTCCCTTCTCTTGATATTTTTCTTGCTTTAAACCCAGTTTCCTATTGATGGGTTTTGCAGGATCACAAATTTGCTGCTAGTGACTTCATATGGTGGCGTGGTCTTCTTCGTATACTAGAAGATAGAGGGTTTATCAGGGAGGGAGATGAAATGGTACAATCTCAATATGCGGTCATATCAAAATACAATAGTTTTGGTTTTATTCACACATTTCTTTCGCGTTAAATACACGTTACTTTTTTTTCCATCTCAAGAAGCCTCAGAAAATGGATATCATGTGGTTCAAATGGTTAGTTTTCAATGCATTGTGATATACATTCTTACATTCACCCTGAAACTTAACTATAACTAAAATTGCTCTTATACTCTGAACATGCTTCTCCTTTTTTCTGTCTCTCACCCCAGCTACGTGCATGAACCCAGCATAATGGTTGCCCTAAGAAATCAGCTTGGGTATCTTCATTAATTTATATGAGGAAAAAAAACAGAAAATGTACCTTGAAATGATATAGTGAGAATAATGGAAGTCAAAACAGTATATAGTTGAAATTGAAAGTTTTGTTTTATTTTATTTTTGTTGAGAAATAGAAGCTCATAATTTTGCATTGTGCTCAAAGTTAACCCAGGTGAGGTGACTTGAATCTTATCTGCCTTAATTTAGATGAGTTTTGTATGCCTGTTTCTGACTTCATTACGAATAGGTCCGAAGTAATTATTGGAATATGCTCAGGTTGTGTAGTGCATTACTTCTTACATATTATTTTCTGATAACTGATATTCAAATACCTATTTTGATTGGAATAAAGTTGTTATGGAATTGAATTAGAAGTTCATGTTCTCAAGGGCAATTAGGAACCTACAAGTTCTACTTGCAATGACCTTTTCCTTTTTGTTAATTTCTCGGGAACTAACTGTTCTGTGACAATGTCAGTCTTACAAGTTTTTAGGAAAAGTAAATGGCATTCAGATTTGATTCAATTTATTCCATATCTGTGCCCAAAATGCATCGTTTTGTGTCGTGCGTTTTCTTTTCTTTACCCTGTGATTTTAGTTATATTGCTTGCATAGAATAATGTGAAGTCATGACTTTTTTCGGGATGATCTCATAGTATAGAGCAATAATTTATCTTCTCTTGTGCACTTCCATGCAGAGTCGAGTTCAGATAAAATTTCCAGAGCCAACGGAATCTGGGCTGCAATTGTTTAGGTCGGCATTGGAACAACCATTCTATGTTTACCCAGAAGCAGATATGCTGCTGTCCACGAGAAGCCGTAAATCATTTTCTAGTTTCACTGAATGGGGAAAAGGTTGGGCTGATCCTGAAATCCGTCGTCAGCGCTTAGAAAGTAGTCAAACAAAGAGAAATCGCAAGAAGAGAAAACCTCGTAAGCGTAAGCCTAATTTGGCAACAGTTCATGGGAGGTTAGCTGCGAAACTCTCAAAGAAGAACTGATGTTTTAAGCTAATTTGAAGCAGTTTACTCTGTTGCAATTGTACAAATTTTGAAGCAACTAAGTCAATAATTTTATTAAAAACTCAATACTAGTGAAGTTGTGATGTAATCCGGCTTTGGACGTTGAATCGACTTTATTTCTTTTATTTTAGGCTTTTGACTTTTTATTTAGTTAATACTGTTATTTTATTAATTAGGGCTCTTTAATTATTTTGACTAGGTTAGTTTAAAAGGTTGCATTAGATATTATTATATGTTCATTATATTTTGACTAAATAAAAATATTGCTGTAAGATTTTTTTCTCAATATTCTCAATTAAAAATTATTGAATTATTGACTTTCGTGAGTAATGTCGAAATCAACATGCTTCTCCCTCCAAGTTCCATTCAGAAAGGGAATGCAATGCATTGACTTGTGTCTTCACGCAAACTCCTGAGTCCTGATGCATATAAAAGTTTTCATTTTTCTAAGAATATAGCAAGATGTGCCACTCTTTTAAGTCTTAACAATGCTAAAATATCTATAATTAAAGAAGCATTTGTTAGTATCAACCCTTGTATCACTCTTAATGCATCGCTCTAGCATGCTAGACTTCAAAAAAAGTATTGACGGTAAATTTTAGACCGTAATGGAAAGCCAATGCCCCTTCTAGCCATGAAGAAAACCTACCCTCCTTCCTCATTATAAAAGTCGCAAGCACCATACCTGCGCCATCATGGATCACACGAAATTGTCCCAATGTCATTGAACTTATGTCCGTCTTCAATTGCTTACAAGTTTGAAAAGCTTAATTCGTTGTTCACTAGACTTCGAAAAACGTTTTCAATTGCTCACTAAATTTTGAAATGTCTTCGGTTGTTCATTGAACTTTGGGGTGATTGAATTTTGGCCATTAAAAATTTAAAGCGTCCGTCATTGCTCGCTAAACTTTGGAACATTTTCATTATTCAATAAACTCTCAAAAGCATTTTCGATTCCGCACTGAACTTTGATGTGGTTGAATTTTGGTCACTAAAAATTTAAAGTGTCTTCGATTACTTATTAAATTTTGAAAAACATTTTCGATTGCTCATTGGACTTTGATATGGTCGAATTTTGGCTACTAAACTTATAAGAGTGACTTCAGCCTGTTGTTTGTTAAAACTGTGTACACTAAGCGCCTAGATCGTGTAAATGTAATAAAGTGAATAAATGAGTCAGAATTGTCAATCTCATACCACGAGAAATGATTACTCAATTACACAATAGTTAAATTTAATTTTAACATATTTTTGTAAAATTTTAAACTATTTTCATCATTTGAAAAGCTCAAATTTATTGTATTTCGTTGTTAAAATTAAATAAAATTAAATTTGAATTTTGCAACGAAACGCACAATAAATTTAATTAAATAGATTTTGCAACGAAACAGATAATAAATTTAATTAAATTTGAATTTTTGTAACGAAACACATAATAAATTTGGGTGTGACCCGAATTCCTTGCTTGAAGTATTGAAAAATTCTAATTGAAGTGCACGTCATGAAGAATTCAAATTTGGAATATTATTGGAGTTCTATGTCAAGTTGAAGTTCTGTTTTGAATACCCATTGGGAGTTGTAATTTATTTTGGACTTGATTTTTTGGTATCGTAATTCATCAACAACTGTACTAGGAGGGTTTGAACATCCCCTACATGTTCCTTATAAATACTAGACTTTTCTATACAATTTTATGGTGTGAGAAAATAGATTACTAGGATTATAGGATCCATTGTAATTTTCTCTCTTCTCCATTATTCTTGAGTTAATAAAATCTTTTAATTCATCTGTCATATTCTTGTCTTTATTATTCTTTTACTTGATCATATACTTCATTATTATTGCCACATAACTTCAACATCTCAATCCGGTGGTTTGTTTCACAACAATTGGTATCAGAGTTATTCTGGTATCTTATTTGTTTTACAACAATTGGTATCAGAGCGCCAGGTTCAACAGTTTCACAAGAGCGCAATGTTTGATTTGTTTAAGTTTTTTTTATTCGTGATGGCTTCCATGAAGTATGACATTCCACTTTTGGATTGAAGCACTAGATTTTCACTATGGCAGGTTAAGATGCATGCAGTACTTGTACAGCTGGACTTGGATGATGCGTTGCTAAGAATTGACAGGATTTCCACAACTTTGACCGCGGAGGAGAAATTACGGAACGATAAGAAGGCAGTTTTCACATTCATCTTCATCTATCAAATACTATTCTTCAGGACGTTTTGAAGGAGAATTCAGCAGCTACTTTATGGTTGAGGTTGGAGCAATTGTGCATGACTAAAAGTCTGACAAACAAGTTGAACCTTAAGCAGCGTTTATACTCTCATCGAATGGCAGAAGGAGGATCATTGGAAGATCACCTGGCTATATTTAAAGAGATCGTCGCTGATTTGGAAACTTTGGAAGTAGAGTATGATGAAGAAAATTTGGCATTGATCATATTGTGTTCGTTACCCGCTTCATTTTCTTCATTTAGAGACACGATCTTGTTTAGTCGTGATACTCTCACCATAGAGGAAGTGCATGATGCTTTGTATTCAAAAGAGAAGATGAATCATCTGGTTTCTGAGGCCAGAGATGGAGAAGGCCTAGTTGCTCATGATGGAGAAGGGACAGATCGAAATCTAAGTTCGGTAATCAAATTTGTAACTACTGGAAGAAGAAGGGGCACTTAAGGAAAGATTGATACAAATTGCAGAATGAAGAAAGGATGGCTGCAAGTAGATATTCAGATACTTCAGGTGAAGCAGGCCTCGCGGAGAATGTTATAAGTTATGGAGATCTCTTAGCTATTTCTGACATTGAGTCTAAACTAGAAGATGATTGGATTCTTGATTCAGCATGTATGTTTCATATGTGTCCTAATAAGGACTTATTTGCTACATATGAAACTGTTTCCAAAGGTGTCGTGGTTATGGGAAACAATGCATCTAGTCGGGTTGCTGAAATTAGTAAGTCAGATTGAAGATTTTGGATAGGACAATTAGAACACTGGCTAGGTTCAACATGTTCCAAATTTGAAGAAAAATTTCATCTCATTATCTATCATTGATTCAAAAGGTTATAAGTTCTTTGGTGGAGGTGGAGGTGGAGGTGGAGGTGGAGGTGGAGGTGGAGTTTTGAAGGTTTGTAAGGGTGCCCAAGTTTTATTGGAGGGATAGAAAATGTCTCAGTTATACATCTTGCAGGGGCGTGCAGAATTTAGAAGAGTCAATCAGCATAGATT